CGTATCGAAGACGACTTTTGGCACAAGTGATGGCATTTAACGTGCGCTTGACATGGCTCCTCGATACCTCGCTGGAGGCGGGCAGGTATGCTCAGAACTCGAAGGGGTGCAAAGGGTGGTCGTTGCAGGGAATCCCGTTCCACGTTTTTGTCGCTTTGGACGAAGGCTGTTTCCACGTGCAAGGTGATGAACAGATCCAACTCCTCAGACAGTGCGATGGAGGCAGATGCGATTGAGGAGTCTGGTGACTGGTAGCTGATCACTGTTTGCCAAGCACAATGCTTAATGTGTAGCCACGGCCACAACTCCCCTTTCTCACCCATTGTATAATCATGAACCTTTTTGATGACCCACATGTTTGACTCTGGGGTGCCAGCCTTATGCCAACTCACTTGCTCAATTGGAACAATCCCTGCCAATGGTCGTCTCGGATTCTGTCAGAAAAACCGCGTTGAATTTTGGTCTGAAGAGTCTGAAGAGTCAAACGCCTTGGCACAGTGAAACACAGGAGTTGGCACTGCTCACTGATGTTTCTTGGATCAATTGTTGCAGTGCCGATGATTCTTTTCTCAGTCGTTTGGTGGTACAATCGGGGTATGTTTCCTTTTCTGGGGCTATCTTCCTTTATAGATATGCAACGGTTCGCGCAGATATGTGGGGATGGGGGATGCTGGAGGTGATGTGCATGTCACCAGGATGGCCACCCAGGTACCCGTGGATGTTCCCGGAGCCAGGTGGGCCACGTCAGCCATGTGTACAGCTCTTTCTCCGGCCAAGGTCGATGGCATGTCTCGCTTCGGGGAAGCCTTGCGGGAAGAGCTCAACGAGACGTCCAATCTCACCAGGGTGTCTTTCGCAGCTCTTGGTAGCGCTGAGGTGGGACAAGAATTGGACGCAGCGAGTAGTGGAGAGTTTTGTTGGAGTTATAAGAAAGTTCACACTTCCACCGCCACCAAGACAGTCTGTTTCTACAGCTCTGTCACATGTTCACTGAGGCTTACACATTCACGCAGCTTCTATGACGCCAGTCAGGAGTTATGACTCATGTATACGATTCCTTTCCAGGTGATCAACGGCTACGCTGTGCCGGAGCCATTCTGGATTGTGGGTCGCTGGGACACCACAGCCTGCGCCGCCATGGACAATGGCTGTGGAAGCGCCATGGAGGTTGCCGAGGTCATTTGTAGCCGTGGCTCAGATCTACTGTGCTCTGGTGCCTGGGTGGCGAGTGATGGAGTGTGCGGGAGACTTACACAAAACGATCGGAGCATCCGTTTGCCGAGGGCTTAGGGTCTGCCTATCTTGACAAGCACACACACACACAACTTTTTCGGGGCCACTTCTCCACTTTCTCGAAAGTTGAGCCCAGGTCCCGCTGAAGCACTGGCAGGACCCAAGCCAAGCTCTCGACGACCCTGCCCATGCGCCGCGGAGGCCTCATTCGGTCGGGGGGTGATTGAGGAGACCGGGCGAGTCGATGCAGGCCCTACCTGTGGAAGTCTGAGGTCTCAAAGTCCTTATCTTCAGTGGTACCTGGTACCACCCATGACTTGCTGATGATCTTGCAGTTGTGATTAGCTGGATATGGACTTGTGACTTGAGCTTGTGTGAGGCGATGCCTGCATGGGTGATACCTGTGACCTTGGGAGTGGGCTTCTGCTTTTGCATGTCCCTGGGCTTAGCAGTTCACGTTTGGGCAACGTCCTATGGCTTGCAACATGGTCTCACTTGGTGAGCAATGAACGCCAAAGGGGCCTATGAATCTATGTGGCACCGATCAAAAGGGGAAAACCTTCTACACATGTCCTCCCTAGAGTTGAACCAATCCAGTATGCCGTATTCTGGAGCATTCACCACTTGGAGACGTTTACATATGTAAAAGTTATTTGCTCGGTTACACTGTAGCCGCATCTTTGCTGCTTGTATGCACCCAAGGCTCTTAGGACTCTGCCTTGGTCGTCAAGTCTTCAAACTGCTTCCAAGTGCCATGCTGCGCAAAGGGCAGGAGGCCGCAACAAAACACTCACTGAGGTTTTTCATGTGTTTCTCCACTTTCATTCCAGCTACTTGATGGTTTGTACAGCTGTTCCCAGTTACCTGCGATTTGTGTGTGTGTGTGTGGCTTTGCCCAATATTGTTCATGTTGTCAGAGTATTTGTTCATACTTGTTCAAAGATCTTCCAATTCGAGGCAGAGGCTCCATAATCGTTATTGGTGTTTTTTTGCGCCTGGTGCCGGCAGGCTTATGCTGAGCAGCAACTAGGTTGCACAGTTGAGTTTCATTTGATTGATGATACTGACATTCCCATTCCCCACAGCACCTTGGGTCTTCAGGGTGCTAAGGGCAACCAACATGTGCAAAAATCGGGTAGTTGCGTGCCAGCCATTTTGTGGCGGCTGACCTTAGGTGTGCGGTCCAAAGCATCAATTCGAGGACAAGCCTAGGCGGGACTCCAATGAGATGAGAATGCAATGTAGTTGACGTTGACAGCAGGATAGCTACACCTCGGACAACTATATACTGTATATATATATTATATATATTATTTGCTAAGAAGACTAAGATCTAAGAGTATTTATCCGTATCATATGCTCAAATTGTGACTGTGTGCAAGTACAATCTGGCTTGCCAACCCCCTATTCGATGTGCTCATTTCGTCGCTCTACCCCGAGACCAAGAGAACGAAATGAGCTTCATCAAGCGCCTCAGCACACTGCGGCCGACTTTCACAGGCCGAAGTTCGTGTCTTGGCACACCAAGCAATCACAACATGATGTTCGTCTCCAGATGTGATGGAGGACACTTCCTCACAAGCATTCTTTTTTGTGCAATACACTACCACATGTGCTTCCTAGCAACGCCGCATCGGCTGGGACGTTTTGAGGATGAGGAATGTCACACGGCTTTAGGCCACATCCAACCGGCTGCTTAGGCTGTCTAGCAAAGGTGGGGATGAGATGACAGCTACCAGAACAAAGGTCCAGTGGACGCTCAGCTGACATTGCTACATGTTGCTACATGTTGCTACAGTGTGGACAGCCGGTCAACATAAAAAAACACACACAAATATATATATATATATACAAAATTATGGATACATAGTGTTTGATCCTTGTTTTTCCATTGGAAATATTTGTTTTGAACATACATGGAAGTGCAATGCAACGCGGTAGCAATGATCGACCTTTGAGGGACATGGACATCAAGAACCTGTCCCCCACCTTTGCAAAGACATATTCTTCACATGTGGCACCAGATGATTTGCAGCTTTTCTTTAAAAGAGCAAGAGAAATCTCCAGTGAACTCTGGATGGCTTAAAGGCTCCGCGCATCAAAGGATCAACTTTTTGCAACGGTTCACAGACCAAAGGATCTCAGAAAGGGCCAATCATGGCGGACCATGATGTATACAGTGTAATGTATAATGATTCTTCATGGCAAAGCCAAGTTTCACACAGTGGTACTATAGAAGAAAGCATTTGCCACAATGTCAGCACCAGGAAGCACGCACTGGCGCTAGTGGGTATTTTTGCCATTTCCAGTCCATGCATGTCCATGCTTCTTGATTTCGGGTTCGAGGCATGCCTCCAGAGCCTCCAGAGCCTCCGATGAGGAAGTTGACCTGGAAGATCCCGTGGCGTGGGAGCCCTCCTTCGATCAACGTGATTCACGCGCCGTGACCTTCGAAGCAAGCTGCGAGCCACGACACGACTCCAGGTGCCTCGATACACCGAGATTTCCATGCGCTTCATTCGAGTGTTTGGTGGAGATGTGTGGTGGGATAGGTAGGATAGGTTCGGAGGAAGAACAGATACTGTAATTTCAAAGCTTTGCTAATCACCGCTTAAAGCAAAAGGAATCAAAAGGAGGCCAACACAAGACCCCTTGAATCGCCTTGAGTACTCTTACTTACAGTTACATTTCTTTTTCTTGAAATCCTGTGGGCGCCGGCGCCGGGGCCTTTTCCCTGGTTGAAGGCTGGAAAAGGCTGATGTATACAGATTTATATATCCAGCTGCCTCTCCAAAGTCCAAGAGAATTCGGATCAAGCGACTGAAAAGTCCTCAGCATGGGTTTCAAGTCGTGTTCACACTGCGTTCACACCGAAGGACGTCATGCTGCAAACCAACGCGTTCACACCGCTCATCCGGCACCTTGCTCAATTCGCCTTTGTCGCCGATCGACAAAACGGATACCGAGCGCACCCTGAAGCGCTCGACACTGTGAGGCAGGGAAGTGGAGGGAACCTGGGGAAGCTCTAAGCATGTGGACTGTTTCAGTATGGTAGACAAAAGCTGGAAAAGATTGTACATATATATATATATAAATACTATAATATCCTGATATATGCATATACTGTGCTCATATACTTCCCCAGAAATTAGGTGCCATTCAAGTGGTGGTCTTGAAGTGCTTTATAGTCCCATTGTACGTTTCCCAAAGGGGCGTCGTTAACCCTCGAAGAGGACGCTTTCTCCCCGAATTGTGTACAGAAACTGTACAGCAAACCAGCTACTTACAGCGACAGCCTGCCATGCTGGGACGACTCGCGTTTTACGGCAGCTGTTTTTGGCACGCTCACGAGAAGTGTGCGCCAGCATGTTTTGGGTAGGATTTCCTTGTCCGCCCTAGCTGGCCTATGTGTAGCAGCGTAGCACTTTTGATGTCTTCAATTGTGCGTATGTTTTATGGTGGGTGGAGGAGCTGGTCCTATCCGAAACTCCAGGACGGGTGCTTGGCACTGGATCGATGTGTCTAGCTAGTACGAATCCATGTCACTGCGGCCGCCCAGCGCTAATGTATCGAAATGTTGCGACATTCAAGAGCAGCATCGGGATGTTTGTGCAATTGTCCATTCTTGAGAATGAACCCAAGGCCGGAGGCAATGTGACAGGCAGACGATGTGCAATCATGTGCAATGGCCTCCAAACTAATAGCAACGGCCTCCATCCTAATAGGGATGGCTTCCAACCTACAGAAGCTAAGAGACGCTGGAGGTGGCAGATTTATGTGTTGAACTTTCGGCTCAAGGTGCGGCTCAAGACCGCCGGACTTGTCCCGAGCAGCCTGATGCGTCCACGAGCGACCTGTGAAGAAGAGACTTGGACCAGTCGGAGCTGTCAAAGCCGTCGGGGATCCTTTTTCAGGTGAGAGAGACGCCTCAAACCACGTGGTTTCAAAAGAAGTAGCATGAAGCAGCCAAGAATATTGGAATCACGGCAGACGAGTAGTGTCTACAGTGTCGTCTATTACGGAGCACTTTGGTTTTGCAAGAGGAAGCTCAATCATTGAATCATTGGTCCTGCACACACGCAAGCGAAGCCACTGATTCTTGAGCTAGTGGGCCCTAGTGGTGAGCCAGCTTTTTCTTGAGCTTGAGCTAGCCGCTAGCCAAATGTTGAGTCAAGTCAGTTTGCTAGGGCTCATTGTTGACGCAGCTGAATAGTCAGTCAGCGCTAGCCAAGTGGTGATTTGTAAATGTTTGTGATGATTCAGCGGCTACCTGATGCAGTGATTAGGGTGCAAAGTTCCACCCGCACCAGCACTGTGCCCACAGCCAGACTGTCTGCGCCCGACTTCCCTTGCACCCCCAACGGCACACCCTGTTGTGCGTATCTCTTCCCCGACCCTCTTTTTGCGTGTCGTGATCTTGTGTTGATTTAACACGTGTTGAGGTTGAGGCTTGCAATCATGTGGTCCCGCAGCCAAAAGCGTGGAGCTTGTCACCTGTGCAGCTCGACCAACATGGCTGTAACGCATTGGTGTCGTAGAGCTGCTAGACAGGCATTCCTTGAAAGATTTCCATTGCTTTTCGACTTCCATTTCTTTTCGACACAAAGGCAAGCTCCATTGCTGTGGCTTCTACTATTGGGCCGATACTTCTCCACTGCATCAGCTGCCGTTGTCGTAGAGATGTGCTAGAGGCTCAGAACACCCAAGCCCAGTGGGAGTATCATTCTCTTATAATATATATATAGTTATATATATATATATTGTTTTTTTTAGACACAATTTACATGGTCAATAGCCGGTGCCAATGATCAGTTCTGCAAACAATCCAAGAGATGTGTTTTTGAGACTTGACTTAAGAGGACGCAAATGTGCTGCCAAGGTACGAACATCCGAGAGGATTTGGGGTCGACATCTTGTGAGGATCTCCTTGACGGAAATGGCAAAGGTTTTCGACTGGTTGGAACTATGGCAAGTCCTCTCAGGTGCATAGGGCCCAAACGAAAAATGCGGAAGCATAAATTTGGGAGTAAGGCCTACGCAATCATCGACGGAAACAATCATGAATCATGACCGACTTGCCTGAGTGGTGGAAACACAGTCGACTCACTTGGCATTCTAGAAGATACGGTTTCTTGCCAACAGAAAGCACGTTTGCATTTTCTCACATTGTATCAGCAATACAAAGTCTACTGAGCTTTGTTTTGTTGCTTGCAGATGGTTTCATTTCGCCCTGAAGTTACAATGGTGCCAGCTTCAACATTGACATCGATGGCTTTACATCTGGCTCGCGGAATGTTTGCATGCTAGCAGCGTTCGGCAATGGGGGCGTGGTGCCATCGAATTGCCAGCCTGGCACCGGCACTCAGGCAAGCTATGGTAGCAGAATGGAGTGTTCCGTTGCACGACCAAGTTTGGCACTGATTATGATTGGAAGTCAAGAACCTGTTCCATTTTCCAGGTTAACACTTCAAGTGCATTTATGGAAGTTGGTACGGGTCTTTTCAACTTTTTGGTCCACACATATATGGCTGCAACAGTCATCATCCCTGTCCGCAGACGCTCAATACGCTTTCGTTCTTGTTGCATGATGCTTCAGCTGCTAGAAGCATTTTATTTATGCGTTGCGTTGCGCTAGACAGCTAGACCAAGACTTTTTTGCAGAAGGCGACTGCCTTTGATGGCGATTTGGGGCCAATCTACTTTGGCCCCCTCGCAGATTTATGTGGCTACAACGACCTGCCTTTTGATCCAGGCTGCAGAAGCTAGAGTCTACAGGGTTTGAGTTTTGAATGCCCAGGGCCGGGATTGGTCTTTGTCGTTTTGTTGGTTGTTTTTTTGGGGGGTAATGGGCGGGGATGGGGGCTTCCTGACAGGACATACAATCGATTGGTCATACCCGTTAGGGACGAGCTGCGTGGGGGATTCAACCATGGATCTTGGCCTGACATCGATCGATTGTGTCTTTTCCATGAGCTGCGAACTTGGAACGACCACCACTATCGCGCCCACGACCATCACTACCAGCACTAGCACTAGCACCAGCAGCAGCAGCAGCAGCAGCAGTAGCACCAGCAGCAGCAGCAGCACCAGCAGCAGCACCAGCAGTACTAGCAGTACGTCTTCCTCTACAACAACCAGTAGTAGCAGCGCTACTAACACGCACACCACTACATCAGGCACAGAGACCGAGACCAGTACGACCTCAGAAACTTTTACATTGACATCCCAGACATTGACCTCAACAATGACACTAACCTCGACAGAAACAACGACAGGTGTGACTGTGACTGAGACATCGACGGTGACAGCAACATTGACTGCTACTGTACCAACGACCGTATCATCTACAGCCACCGTGACAGTAACGGAACCAACCACCACAGTTTCTGAGACCACAGCAACTGTGACAGCAACGACCTCTGCGACAGCTGCGACTACCGCAGAGGCTTCCCCGACCACAACAACCACAACCACGACAACGACCACGACAACGACCACGACCACCACCACGACAACGACTACCACTACCAGTGCGACCACAACGACCACCACGACCACCACGACCACAACGACCACCACAACCACTACCGGTGATAGTACCACCACTGGGCAAGCAATCACGACAACAACGACCGTAACGACCGACGCCACAAGCTTCAGCGAAGGGTCGCCCTGTCCTGATGTGCCTGTGAAGCCTGGATGCAAAAATCACGTGCTGGACCCGAAAAAGAGACCTTCCTGTTGAAACCACGATCCGTAGTAGAGGAACACGTTGGATCCTTGGGAAAAAACTTTGAGTTGGAGAGTATCTGCTGGATCCACAACTTCAGGGTCTAGGCAGAGCTTGCATCAGGATTCAATGCATCCTACGCCCGCTGACTTGGCATTATTTTTGTTGAAGACAAGCCTCTCTTGTACTAGATTGTGTTGTTTGGAAGAGGGAGAACTGACCAGTTGTTGGGATTTGCTTGACTGCTGGTTCCACAGTCTACAGTCTGTTCCCGATCATGGTATTGGCATTGGACTTAAACTCTGAGAACATGGCAAGGCCGTATGGCTGTTCTAACAAGAGCCAAGGCTTCTCGATGTTGGATAATAGATTTACTTCTACTCATGTCATTCCCATCACATTTTTCGTACATAGTCGTACCCTTTTAGGTGCAAAATGGTCAACAAGCTTCTTTCAAGCCATTTCAAGCATTCCATAAAAAGCCAAGGATCCCGCACAGCGAGCCCCTTGATAGCTGCACTGGCACCGAGAGCGGTTCGTTCTGTTCTGTTGCATGCCTCCCAGGCTACGCTGCAAAGGTGGGGAGAGTAAAAGTTTGCTTTGGGTTGCTGCTCCGCCGTCCTTCGAAGAGAGCTCCTTTGCACCTCTAAGAGAGAGAGAGAGAGATCTCCCCTCTTGCCCGGGCTCCATACCGTCCCTTGAACAGTGGAAGGACCCTCGAATTCTTCAATGCAGAGATGGTCGTTGGCAAGTGCGAGGCATCGACCACTGTTTGGGATTTGTGGGTTTTTGGGTCCTTTTTGTGAACCAGGATGAGGTTCTTCCAGTGGGTAGTTTTTGTCTTGCATTGCTTGAAGAATACGCATGGTTTTGTTGACTGTGGGTCAAGTCCTTTTGAGTTTTGTAAGAACATTATAGGTCACCCTTCATCTAAGAATCTGGGAGAATATGCTCAGAGTCAGGTGAGTGCTTCTTGGAGGGCGTCAATGTGACTGAAGCCAGCGCTGCGCAGATCCTTCTACGCTTGAGCTTGGATTTAGAGGGAATGAATGCAAGTGACCTGGCCCAAGGTGCGCTCTGCGTGGGTCTGGGAGGTTTAGGATGGTGAGCATCTGAGGTGATGGCTTCGCTTGGGCCGAGCAGCACTTGGACCACCTCTACCGAGCGTTTGGTAAGACGATTGATGTACATCCAGCAGAGCTGCGTACCTGAGTTGAATTGGACTTCTGAAAACAAAAGATCAACTTGAAAACAATCAGAAACGAAAGGCACGTGTGAACTCCGATGATTTCCGAGTAAACCCTGAATCAACTTGCATTTTGACTTATGCTCCGGCCGCTCGTTATCGCCAGGCCTCCAGTTGCTGCCAAGCTCCTTGGGTCGTCGCTTGGGGCAAACGACCTTGGCCTTCGATGTCCGCCTGACCCTTTTGCTCGAAGTATCTTGAAAGCAGTTAATGTAGACTCTTGATCAACAAAACCCATCCAGGACATTTGGATGCACGGACTTGCGAGTCTGAGCGCGCCCACGCCAACCCTTGCCATCCCTTACCGGTATTCAGTGGGTTTGGGTGGTGGTGTGAAACACTCATGAGGAGTGGCGGAAAAACATGCCAAGTAACTACGAGAAACCAGAGAGCAGCAACGAAAGAGAACAACCATATAAGCCGAGAGTGATTTATGTCTAATTGCACGAGCGCATGCTCAATTAAGGTCAGGGTGTTGAAATGTGTCCAAATTTTTCTTGGTGCGAATCGCATAACGGACACGGCTCTGGAATTTTTCCCCAAACAGTTTACTGTTGGGGTTCTATCTTAGAACAAAAAGAGCTGGCCACACACTGGCCGCGCCCCTGAATTCTGTGGCTGGGCTCTGTGGCCCGGTTTACTGGAGAGGAGTGTGGCCGAACAAATAGCGATGTCGATGCCGACAAAAATCATTGATGAAGCAGTGTGCTCTTGGGGCGTACCAAGAAATCATTTTTTGACTACTGTAATATTGGTCTGAAACTGTTCGGGGTCTATGCTGGTATAACTCTTGCTTATCACTAGAAGCTTCCTGCACCCATCCATTTGGATTGCAAAACCTCTCATATGGTGCGTTCATTCATCAAGAGTCTACATTATCATTGAAAAGAGGACAACACAGTTTGCCAATACTGCCAGCAAAGTATGTTTGCAAGACCAGAACAACAATTGCACTTGTCCGTGCGCAACGCATTAAATATCATATATATATATAGCCTTTTTGGATGAGCTCACCAGATAGCTGGAAACTATAGGGTGTCTTAATTCGCTTGCAAGCGGACGCTGATCTGATTTGGATAAACATTTTTTGCCCTGAACCCTGGAATCTGGAGCCAGGCGCCGCTCATCACTTTTTGTCCCCCGATCCCACATTGTGTGGCTTGCCTAGTCGCCGGATCCGGTGAGGTGTTCCAAGAGATTCAACCACGTCCGGATCCGTACCCCCGAAGTTGCTCGCTGTCCATAATCTATGCCTTTGGTGTAATTTCTGCCTTTTTCAACCATTTCTTCTGCAAATGGCGTAATTACTCCCTCGCAGGCAGGAACTTTGTTATCTGTGAAAGCTGTCAGGTCAACAATTCGAAAGAAAGACAATCCAACCGCGACCTTTTTGGCAAACTATTCAAAGCCGCATAAATGGACTGTTGGACATACTGTAAATTGCACTTTTGACAACAAAGGTTTGCGCACTTCGGCAAATGGCGAAACAATTGCCAATGTCTGAGGCAAATGTGTCCACCTTGTCTTTGCAGGAAGCGATGCAGGTGGGAGTTCTGTCTCTTTCGGGACAAAGAAACAAACCAGACAAGTTCGTCTGTCGCTTTTTCACCGCGACGTTCCTTTCGACGGCCAGGACTTGGCGTACCTCGCAGATGTTCCTTGGATGTTTCGATCGCCCACACGGCCCGAAAAATAGGCCTCGCAGCTTGAGCACTGAAAGAAATCGGCTCAGGGGCCGACTCTAGGTTCATTGTGGTTTGTTTTTCTCATACTCCAACGCGTCCTGACAACTCGCGACGTGGGTGACTTTCTAAGTCTGAGGTGACAGGCATCTCCCACTTCGAAGATGCTTTGCAGAAGGAACTTGAAAGTGCAGGAAGCGCCTCCACTGTCACAAGGGTTATTCTTGGAACCCTGGGCTCAGCAGAGGCCGCTTGCTTGAAGAGTCTCCGTAGAGTGTCATGAAAGGTTTCATTGTTAACTTTTCATGTTTTATTGTCAGAGGTGGAGTGCACCGATTCATATGTTTTCCATGGCTCAAGATGTTCAAATGATCTAATGCCCAGGCCTCACCATGTCAGGGTCAGGAAAGATCTGAGACACCCACTCGCGAAGTGGGTGAAGTGCTTAACATTCAACACAAGTTCTTTCGCAGCTTTTGTTGTTCCCCAGATAGCGACGCTATGGGGTTCTTACTTCAAATGACAATGAGTTGCCCGTGCGCGCTTTCGAGACAGGTTGCTGGTGCTGGGCGCCGGTGCTGGTGCTGGTGCTGTGAGCTGGCTGTGCACGTGGTGGAGACAGGTTGCTGGCGCCGGTGCTGGTGCTGGGAGCCGGGTGCCGGCGCTGGTGCTGGTGGAGACAGGTAGCTGGCGCCGGTGCTGGTGCTGGGTGCCGGTGCTGGTGCTGGTGCTGTGAGCTGGCTGCGCACGTGGTGGAGACAGGTTGCTGGTCCTGGTGCCGGGTGCCGGTGCTGGCGCTGGGTGCGGGTGCCGGTGGTGCTGGGTGCCGGGTGCTGGTGCTTTGAGCTGGCCGTGCACGTGGTGGAGACAGGTTGCTGGTGCTGTGCTGGTGCTTCTGCTGGTGTTGTGAGCTGGCTGTGCACGTGGTGGAGACAGGTTGCTGGTGCCGGTGCTGAGCCCTGCATGCCCGGACAATCCATTGAAAGATGCCGCGGGAGTGAGGGAAGGTCACTCAACATTGCAAACCACTTCTCTCTTTCTCCCCCGAAGCAGGGTAACAAACCGCCGCTTGCAGCAGTGAAGGGAGCTTCTGACAATGAAGTGCCAGTAGTCATGGGCCGCATGAACTTATGCACGCAACATCAGCAGGTGTTGTCGCTTGAGCGTTCTTTGTCTATTAGCGCTGTGGGGTATTTACACTCTTCAGGTTCTGTTTTGGCCGACAGGCTGTGTCAAGGGCTGTACTGTTTGCGCGCATACTTTTGTACGTATAATGTTCTATGCGCAACGTCAGGCTCTCAACCGACCATGGTTTCAGCATGTTTCAGCATGCTACACACACAATAGTCGTGCTGGATACTGCTTGGCCTTGGGCGAGTGAAGCCTACGGGCTTTGCCGTTTGTGCGCATACTTTTGTGCGCATAAACTTGTACGCGCAAGATCATACGGCCGTATCATTCTGCAGATCGTTGCTTCAGGCATGCTACAAAGTCAACAGTGGCCCTGGATACTGCTTGGCTTTGGGCCAATGACACTTATGGGCTTTGCTGTTAGCGCGCATACCTTTGTGCGCATAAACTTTTACGTGCAAGATCATACTGTTGATGGACAAAATCCTGCACCACTTTGCGCACACTTTTCTTGCTGCCCTCGTTCTCCCTTGTTAACATTGGGGCCACCACAGTGAGAAAACAAAAACAAGTTGAAGGTCCAAAATCCTGCGCCACCTCCTCAGAGGGGTCGCGCCAACATTGAATGAGGGGGCACGGG